ATTTAGATGTTCCGGACTCTTACAGTTGTTATTGGCATGATCTAAGACGAATAAATGACCCACAAACAAAACAAAATTATGGTGGAGGAAGTTTAATGGTTTAAGGTAGATTTTCTTATTCAGGAAAATTGACTCTGTGTTGTGGTTTACCTAAAATGAACTCGATAAAGTATACAGAAATGTTGGATGATGTTCTCATAACTTATATGGATGAAAATATGGACGATAATGCCATATTTTAGCAAGATAATGCTGCAATTCACACATTTAGGCATTCTATGAAATGGTTCAAAGACCATAACATCCCGGTTCTCGAATGACCAGCTAGTAGCCCGGACTTAAATCCAATCAAGAACGTAAGGGGAATGCTAGCAAGAAAAGTTTATGACGCTAAAGCAGCCGGACACCAATTTAAAACTGTTACTGAGTTAAAGTGTAAAATCCTTGAAGCATGGTCCGAGTTGGATCAAACTACACTTCAACGACTAGTGGAGTCAATGAAAGGCAGAATTTTTTAGGTGATCCAGTGTAATGGAGGACATACGCATTACTAATTTCCATCTTTTATTGTCAAAAATATGACTGCGATTATAGATATATCGCGAGGTTAGAATTATTTTGTTTTATCTCCACATTTTTTTGTTTTGAGATAAAACGATTTAAAAAATAAAAACTTTAGGAGACGGCATATAAAAAGATTTTTATTACTTATGTTTTCTCCGAAATTTTTTTGATTTTAACTTCGGTTTTAATATAGTAGAAAAATATTATTTTGAGGTACATTACACAATTAATAACTCATTTTTTTCAAAAAGTGGAGATAGAATAAAATAATTCTAACCTCGCGATATTCCAATTAAAAAATGTACTTTTGTATATCAAACATACTCTCATGTTAATAAAGACGCATAGAAAATTTTTTTTTGTGATTTTTATTAGCCCACAACACAACAATTATTTTGTTAATAACTTGCTTGCATATCAGTTGACAATTCATAGAAAAAAATTAAGATAAAGAGAAAAAAATTGATGCGTCTAAACGAATATGCCTCTGTTTAGGAAATGAAGGGCGGACACTGCAAGCCCCCCACCCCTTTCTCTCTCATTTCCTAAACAGTTTAAAAAAAAACCTTTATAATAGCAACAGCGGAATTACCATTTTTCAGTCTGCAATGACTCAATCACAATTACCTTTTTAATATATGTATTCAGCCTCCCCCCCCCCCCCCCACACCTTTCGCAACCTTTGTATGCCACTGTATATATACATATATAAAATAGTATATATATATATATATATATATATATATATATATATATATATACTATTTATACTTACTAACAAATATTGTTTTTACAAAATATATTTTATCAACCATATATCTTTTAAAAATTTGTTTAAATATTAAGTGACAAATAAATAGCAACTTTAATAAAGTTTTCATTTTAACTAAATAAAAGATAAAGTCTTTATTAAAAACAAGTCTTTTTTAATCAAATATTAAACCATACTTTTTTTTAAAAAAATGGCTGCCATTTTTCTGATAATTAGTAAAAAAAGTCACAAAGAAACATTAGAGAAAAACTTATTTTATAATACTTCATTAGAGAAAAACTTTACTTTATTTGGTAAAAAAATTCCACAAATGGTCTTTAGTGTGTTAAGTCAATGTGCAGTTAGAGATTTTAAAGATAATTCATTAGGTTTAGATTTTTAAAACATTACATTTTGGAAATCAGAAATGTTAATTTTTACAAGAAAAAATACTCAAGATATTAACTTTCTAAATCTTTAAAAAAAAAGATATTAATGCAAGTATCAGTTTTAAATGTAAAACTATGTGTTTATTGAGCATCTGTTTTTAAAATTATTTATCGTGACTTAAATAATGCGAAAAATGCGTAATACATATATTCTTCCATGTGCAAAAAGTTTAACTTATATCAGTGGCGGATTCAGACTTCTTGGGGCCCGGGGGTATTTTTGTTTTTGGAGGCCTTTTTATGGGTCAGAGCCTAAAAATGACTTAAAAAAAAAAGGTTCTCTAAAATTTTTGGAGGCTCCTAAATTTGCGGGGCCTGGGGCTATAGCCCCCTAGTCCCTCCTTGATCCGGCACTGACATATTTCAACATATTTAAGCAATCACTACTTGACCAATTAAACCATAAACCTCGGCTTTTTAACTGTATATTATTGCGTAGACTCAAATCAAACGTGAATCAAACGTAAAAATATTCCAGTCTAAATGACACTTTGTTTTAATAGTCGCGCGTACGATTCGCGTTGGAAAATTTTTGACCAAAAATTAACGTCGTGTTGTGCGAAGTAATTAAAAACAATCTTTTAAATTTAAAAATTTCTAAATTTAAAAAATATATTAGCGAAAAATTTTATAATTTTTTTTTTCCTTTTTGTTCTTTATTACAATTTAAAATATTTCGTTAATATTTCATAAAACTTACAAGCTAAAGTAAAATAATACAAGCCACTACAGGTGAAGATTTTTAATATATATATATATATATATATATATATATATATATATATATATATATATATATATATATATATATATATATATATATATATATATATATATATATATATATATATATATATATATATATATATATATATATATATATATATATATATACCAAAAAATAATAATAATAACGCGGAAACTCTTAACCAGCCATAGTCACAAGTTAATCCATCTAAACCAATATATGTTAATAAATTGTTCTAGGGTGGTTCAGAAAACTTGACATTTTCTTCAATTTAATAGAAATTATTTTCGTCTAATTTGTAGAGTACATTCTTACCAGGTGATTTCTGAGGTGTGATGTTTACCAGATGTGATGTTTACCAGATTTTCTAGATGTGACTTTTGGGGACATCCATAAAGTACGTACGCAGTAAAACTACTGATTTAGGACCCCCTCCCCTGTTGTAGGAACCTGTACGCTATAGAAAACTCCCCCTTCCCTCCGCGTACGTACGCATTATTTTTTTTCAAAAAAGAGCCCTTCCTCCTTCTCTTTCCCGAACGCGTAAATATTTTAAAACATTGAAAGCAAAAAAACATTTAGTTTATTTGGCATTTCTTTGTACTTAATTCAAAGTTAAAATGTTACTTAATGTACTTATTTAAATCTTAAATGTTACTACATATTTTAATATTTAAAGAGAAATGACAAAAACCAGTTTTCGTAAAGTAATTAAAAAAAAAGAATTCAAAAAGTTATATGTAATATGGTTTATTCGCAACATAATTTGATCAAATTACGTTGACAAATAATATGGTTTGTTATTCGCAACGTAATCAAATTACGTTGCGAATAACAAACCATATTATTTGTCGCTCGATTTCTTTTTTTTTTTTCTCATTATTTTTAAAGAAATTTAAAAAAAATTGTGATTAAAGTCAGAAAAAAAATACAATACTGATTTGTTGGTCATGTGAAATTCAATGTTTTAATAAAAATAAAAAATATAGATATAGTCAAACCGCGTAATAAAAATAAAAAATAGAGATATAGTCAAACCGCGTACGTACTCACTGTCTTTAACATCCCCCCCTCTTGTACGCGTTTGTACGCTTTTGGGTAACCCCATCCCCCCATTCCTGCGTACGTACTTTACGGATGGCCCCTTTACATAGTGATTTGTAAACATAAAGTGTTTTTCTACTTTTTTTACCCTAAAGTTTAGTTTAGAAAATGCTTATTAGGTATAGCTTATAGGTGAATCACCATAAAAGAAGCGCAAAATCTTGTAAAAGAATTTCATTTTAAAAATGTACAAAAAAAAATTTAATTTAAAGAAGCTTTCTGTTTAAAAAAGCAATTCTTTTAAAAAGATCTAAAAGCGTTTTTAAATTTAACTGCTGTTAATTAACAAATGCACGTTTCTTCAAAATAGTTATTAAATTTAATTGCATCTCCGTGAAAATTTAAAACGTTTGAAAATGTTAACTGCAACGCTCTAAAAAACAAAATCATTTTTCGAAGATTCAAAGATAAAAAAAAAAAAAATAACAGCATGCATTTGAACCTGCCATGACGGCTGCATGTTTTTGAGCTATTTTCACCTTTTTTATTGACGCACAAAGTTTATATGTGAACTTCTGTTTATAATTTGAAATACATTAAGTCAAAAAAAAATAATTGTTGAGTAATTGTTCGAATGTTTTTTATGAAGCCTGATTCGAAAATTGGGAAAATAACAGGTTTTTACTAATTCGAAATTTAAAGGCTTTAAAAAGAGTTGTCAATACAAGATTCGAACACTAAGAATGTCATGTTTGAAAAATAAGTATTTTGTTTTTAATTTTTATTTTTATAAGTAGACTTACTTCTAACAATTAGTCGTAAAGGTTTCATCATTATCGAAAACTTTTAATTCTTAAAAATTTGTTTTCAATATAATAAAATAAAAAAATCAACGTGTATTTTTATAAAGAAAAAAGTTTCCAATATCTTCTTTGCTAAAACTTTAATTTTAAATCCTTTTAAACCGTTTATAGGAAATCAGAAATGTAAATTTTTAAAAATCTAACTCTGAACTTTTTAAATTTATTTACAGCAAATTAACTATGGCTTAAGCCTTAATTTTTCAGACGCAGAAATATTTTCCTATTTAAGCTTAAAATTACTTAAATTTGCAACTTTTCTTGTTGTTAACTTTTTTTTTGTTGGAAATATTATCAATTAGGTAAATTTTTAATTTGGACTTTTTTATTTTATTATCGTGTTTTTATAAAGTTTGATTTAAATTCTATAAAAAAATATTTTACCAGGTCAAACTTTTTTCGGAAGATATAAATTAAAAAATTAAAAAGGATTTCTACTCAGAAAATAACTTATTGATTTATTTTATAAACTAAAGAACGCATTTCTTCTATTTCTTTGTATCATTAACTCAAATTTGGTGAAATAAAACGTCTACGATTAGACTTTTTTTTTCCTACTCTCTTGCGTGGATGTTTTTTTATATCAATTTATAAGGTGCGCAGTAAAATGGTATAAAGAAAAAAAAACATAACGCCAAGATGAAGATCTAAACACTAAACACTAAGAGGAAGACCAAGTCTCTTAAATACGAATGCTTATGAAAACCTATAGAAGTTTGTAGTTGAAAAAAGCGAACAGAACGGAAATACACGGAAGAAAAAAAACACTCTTTAAGATGGTAGGTTTTATACTTATTTTATAATTTATTTATTATTAATACGTTTCTTTAAATATATTTTTTAAATGAATAAAAATGCTGAATGTCATTTAATTAAAAAATAAACTCCGTGGCCGTTTACGCAAAACTAAGTATATATTTGCTACACTTTTTTTACATGCAGGACAGCAGTGTATATATCAACGGTATGAGATACCGAAACAGAGTTTTTGTCGGTGGCCTGATAAAGACAGTAAGTGCTATTGTTTTAATTTATTTACTTTTTTTTTAACATTTATTTTTGACTAAAACTAATATAAGCTAAAAAGTAATCTTTTATTACCAAGAAAAAAATGACGACTAAGTTGTTCTGTATAGAGTATAATGTTTAGCGACCTTTTTTAGACAAATGCTGCAGATATAGCAAAATACTTCAGTGAGTTTGGAAAAGTGCTGGATGCGAAAGTTGTCTTTAATGATAACGGGAATTCTAAAGGTAAATTTATAACTAATTACGTTATTCTACATTTTTATTGATTATGTTTATTCGTTTAATGAAATATACCATTCTTGATATTTTAGGTTACGGTTTTGTCACATTTAATAACGAAAAAAGTGTGAAATCGGTTTTGAATGCATGTCCGCTGTATTTTAACGGAAAAAAACTTAATATCGGACCTGCAATAAGAAAGCAGGTTTAAATTTTAGTTTCAAGTTTTCTAGTAATGCTTTTTCATGTTATTGTAATATTTTCATGTAATTGTAATATTTTCTTGTAGTTGCAATATTTTCATGTAGTTGCAATATTTTCATGTAATTTTAATATTAGTAATTTTTTGTATGATTTTAGGCTCCAGATTGTGCTGGGGAGTCAGTATTGGTTTTAAAGACACCAAAAATAAAGTTCTATCCACCGAATAAAGAAAAACCATACAACAATTCTTTAGACCCATCGCACATAATCCCGTTGCAGAACTATACAACGGTTCCTTATTTTATTGACAATTATGGGACAACTTATTTTTTTTAACATTACGTATTTTTAATTTCGTGTAAATATTAATATCAAATAAATTATATTTAAACCTTATTATCTTGTTATTTGATCAGATTATCTTATGTTTCAAATGATCCTTCATTTTATTTTAAACTAAAAAAATAATCAACAAGTTTATTTTTTACAATAGTTGACTAGAAATTTTACGAGAAATACGTTTGATAAGTGATTTTTAAATTTTACGTCATCTAAAATGTTATATAAACGAGAAACAAATTGTTAAATCCACCTGATAAAACAACAAAAAACGATATAAAACTAACCCGATGAAACCACAAAATACAATTAAAGAAGAATTTTTTTTTTAATTAATTGCGTTTTTAATTACGTCTTGCAACAGATTTTATTTTTCCATCAAAAAAAAATTTCTATTTATTTACAAAAGAACTAACAAGTGTTATTGTTACAATGTTTATATTTTAATTAGCAAGTTATTAAAAACAACTTGAGTTGTATAATGAGAAAAGTATTAACGATAAATAGTTCTTTACTCAATTGAACTTGATGGATTTGTAACCCCCGGAGAGATATTTAGGCGCCAGCAATTATTATTCACTAAATTATAATAGTCAAGAACCTTTTGTATTTTATCTACTCCGGTCATTTAAGAATAATTAACAATAAAGCATGCAATAAGTAATACAAATTTTACAAACTTTTACTCGTCTATAAATGATGTTAGATTGTAACCTGCTAAAATTTATTAGCAAAACAACAACCTTTAAATATTTCATAATATTGAAATCTTAATTAAGCGAAGTAAAGTGATCAAATTTTAATATTTTAACAAGCAACAAATTAATTATGTTTGCAAAAAAAGTATGAAACTCTTGCATTATTGAATATTTACTACTTTTAAAAATTAGTTTTTAAATGCTTTTACTTCAATCACTTACGGTTTAGTCGCAATGCTTGTCGCTGTCGTGACGCCTATATGCATAGCGCGTAATCCACGATTCCTCCAAGTAGTTACTTTTAGCATAAACAATAAAATTGATATGAATGTTGTGGAATAAGGTGTAAAAATGTAATAATTAGTAAATTTTACCGTTAACTTTATCTGAAATTTGACCGATAAATTTAGACATTTTTGACATATGTTGCAACGCTCTGAAATAGTTCATTTGCAAATAAATATACCTATATCACTAATGGATTCACGTCAGAAAACCATGGTTGGATCTTTGTTTAAAAGCTGCGGACAAAAATATGAGTAAAGTATCCATTCAACACTTAAAGTGAAACAAAATTTAGCAATAAGTGTAAAAGAACATTTCTAAATAGATGATATCATTCAATTAAAAGTTTGACTGTTTATAAAAACAACTATGAATAAAAAGTACTGTTTTTTTAACAGACACCCGGGACCACCCGTTCGTTTGACGAGTATCTGGGCAGGCATTTTCACAACAGCACTGCTCTTTGCCAATAAAAAACAAAGTAAGTTTACGAAAAGTATAAAAAACGTTGTAACAAACAAGTTTTTAATATTTATCATATTAAAAACTTGTTTGTCACAATAACTAACGTTCCCAGTTAGGACCTAAAAGGGGTCTTTTCAACGTTCAAAAGACGTGTTTTTTTACGCTTCTGGGATTTGTTAAAAAGTTTCTTTGTATTCTAAAATATTTACAAGACGTAGTATAGTAAAACATGGAATATATTACACGTTATTAATAACATTGTATTGTACAAATAATTGTAATAACATTCTTTTGTATAAATTATTGTAATAACATTCCATTGTAAAATGTGATAACTGCTGTACTTATTAAAAAAGCTGTAAAAAAGATAACAACGATGTTTCATCATTAAAATGATAATCGACAATTTACAAGAAAACGATTAAAAACGACATTTTGAGACAATTTTCACCGTCTTTCTTAATTAAAGAACATATGCTTCGGGTAGCATATGTAGGGGAAGGTTGCGTAAGTTGAGCATGTTTTCAGTTTAATGTATTTTGCTCCCAAATGATTACAAAAAGATATATATATATATATTTTGAGAATAATGATAATTTAATTTTTCTTCTCAAAGAATATAAAATAATAATTTAATATTTAAACCATTAAAAAAATAAACCTTTCCTATCTCTAAAAAATTTAACGATACTATTTTTTGGAAAAACTTTCGCTCTTGAAAAACTAAAATAAAGCTTTTTTTTTAATTTTTATTTAGGTGTCCCAAGAAGTCCTTTCGGTCTTATCACAGAGCACCGCGGATGAGCATTTATTTTGAAGTTCACGCCTCCTTCTTAACCGATGTCGCAGGCCTTGCCCAGAGGCGGGGTTTGAACCACGGATCCTTTGTTTCCGAGGCAAGTGCGTTACCATGTGAGGCAAATGCGTTACCAAGCTCCGCGGGGAGTAACTTTCAAAAAACGCGCTTTTCTTAATAAAAAGCCGCATCTCATCTTGAGTGTCTAAAAGCGTATCATTCTAAGCAACTTCACCAAGTACTATCATAATTTAAATAGCATGACATCAGCCTATGTATTATCTCATGTAACCCATAGAATTAGCAGTAGATATGCATAAGATATTGAGGATGTAATAAATTTTTGATAATCTTGTTTCGTTCTGACGTAATACCAAAATATTGAATAATAAAATATTATAACGGGGATGGTAAATTTTTTTAACATTAAAACAATCAAAGAATATTAACTACACAACCAAGAAATTCTTTTCTTTTGTATGTATTTAGGTGCTCCCAGAAGTCCTTACGGTCTTATCATAGAGCACCGCGGGAGAGCATTTAACAGGAGGTTCACGCCTCCTTCCGTACCAATGTCGCTTGTTTGGCTAGAGCTGGCGTCGAGCCTGGGACCTCTGGGTTCTGAGCCAGAACTCTAACCACTGCGCCACGGCTGCTTTTTTTATTTTAAATTAAAATAAATAACACCGTCGAACTTGTATGAATATCCTTAACCAAAAAAGTTCATGAAAAAATCGTTAGTCTACCCGTAAAAGAGGTTAAACTATCTTAGGAACCTGTTCATCTTACGCAACTTTCCCCTACAAGCTTTTTTTTTTTTATAGAAGTTAAAGTTTTTTAGGTAACTGTGCGTTGATTTGACAAGGTTTTAACTAAAATTGTTTATAATAAAAAAAAAAACTTTTAATTTGTTTTTTGTTTTTTGAAATTGTTCAATTTAAATTATTTTTATCGTTTTTTATTTATGTGTCTTTTTTTGGTTGGTGTATAAAAATACATAAATAAATAAAAAAAAAAAAAAATCATATAAATATTTTCTTTTGGACATTAAAAAAAAGAAAAAAAGATTTATTTGCTATTCTCCTAATATAAAAAAAGTTAGAACCTTTTCATTGTCAACAGAGGCGATTTTACGGGGGGAGGGAAACCCCCTCCCCAAGAAGACGATTTTCAAATTATAGTCAGTTTTTTTTACAAATTTAGTTAGCTAGTCGGGTATTTGACACAATGCAGTCAATTTAAGTTTTTTAAGGGTTCACCTCTTTCATTTTTTTCGTAGAATCGTCTCTGATTGTCAAACCTCTACAGCCAAATAAAATGCAACATTTTATATCACGTGTTTTTATATATGCTTTTTTTTTATAATAGTTCATTTGATTTTATGAATTTTAGGTAAAACAATTTAAAAAGTTTTCAATTATGGTCTACCATAGATTTCCACGAAAATTTAAAGCACACAAGACAAAAAACTTTTTTTGCTTTGTTTTATAATGACGCTTTACTTTATAAATCTAAAAGATTTGGCGTCTTTCGTGCGGTATTAATTTTTCTGGAGCCAATCGATTGGCTCCAGTTTGCAATCGAGTGCTGAATTGATTGAGACTGGGAGTTATCGTACAATTTCTAGATCTTATTTCTTGAAAAAAAGTTTTTTAGAACGTTGAACGCTCTAACCAACTGAGCTAAGGCATTATAGACGTTTTAAATATTGCCAACATGTGACTTTATGTCGCCTCATGCATCAACAAACACAAACACAATGAATAAATTCACACACTAGTAAATCTGTAAAATTTTAAAGTAAAATTTCTAAAAACAAGCTAAGGGGTCCACAAATTACGTCACGCAACTTTTTACCGTTAAAACAGTCAAAAGTTGCGTGAGAGTGTTACGATGTTGTGACGATGTTGTGACAAAAGTTGCGTGGGGGTGTTACGATGTTGTGACGAGAGGGTAGGGGGTTCTTTAGAATCCAACATCCCCTTCTCACAACATCGTAACTCTTTAATAACAGGTTCCATTTGAATTGTCACAAAATTACAAAGCGTGACGAAATTTATGGATGACCTCTAATGTAATATCAATGTGATGTATAGTGGTCTAGTGCATCTAACTAAGTCCAGGCGAAGATCGTTAAAGTTAAATCAAATTTAATAGAATATTCGTTAAACTTCGGTAACAAAATTTAAAAAATAATATTATACACTTAACGAATTGAACATTTAACGATTTGATTGTATTAGATCCTCATAAAATTAACTTTTTATGAGGATCTAATACAATCAAATCGTTAAATGTTCTATTTTTTTAATAAACTTTTCATTTTAGTTTTTCAATTTTAGTTTGTGTTGACAACTAAGTACTATTTGTTAAACGAATAGTATTTACTTGTTAAGTGAATAGTATTTTGTTAATATTTCGTTATTCGTTTGTTATTCAACTATTCGTTGAATGAATAGTAATTTTGTTTAATAATAACATTTATTAATTAAATAATGTTTATTTTTTCAAATATTTGAAAAAATAAATGTATATTAAAAAAACAATTTTGAAAACGTATTAAAAACGTATATTGAAACGCATATGGAAAACGTATATTGAAAAAATAAACGTATAGAATTATTGCAATTAAAAATAAATTATTACTATTAAAAGTAATAATTTCTTTTTCATAATTGCAATAATTTTTTTTTTTCAATTATGTACCTAGATTAAACTTGTCAACGAATTTTCATTATTCAACAATTTACAACAACTTCAGAACGTAACAACGTATTTTTAAAAATTAGAAAGTAACGCAGTTTATTCGAAAA